TGCTGCACCTGGACATCATGCTGGACCTGAGCATGATACTGGACCTGAGCATGATGCTGGACCTGGGCACCATGCTGGACCTGGCCAGCCTGCTGGACCTGGGCACCATGCTGGATCTGGCCAGCCTGCTGCACCTGGGCACCATGCTGGATCTGGCCAGCCTGCTGCACCTGGGCTTCATGCTGGATGTGGTGGTTAGCCTGCCGGGCTTCACCACTTTTCTTCTTCCTGAAGAAGTTTGAGCAGGTCTTCCCCAAATCAAAATCTTTCCCCTTACTATTGGCGGAAGTGTAGCCTAAAAAAAACAAAAAACAAAAAAATACCAATTAGAGAACACTTAAGAAAAGTGGTATGAAAAATCAAAAAAGTCTAAAAACTTACTTAAAGCAACTTTGATTATTTCATCACGCACTGCAACAGTGTCGTTCCTGCCAGATCTACTCAGGAGGCCCGTGGCAATAAGGTTTTTTTCCAAGGAGCTCTTCCAAAAGTGTCCGAAACAGTTTGACAGGGTTCTTTTTGTTGCAGCGGTAGATTAAATGAAGAGTGATCTTGTCAATGTATACACCATGGCCAAGGCAAAACTGCAAGTAACAAAATTAATTAGAACAATGCAGTAAGTTCCTATTTGACCCCAAATTTTAGAGCTGGTCACTGATTTTGTCTCAAAAGTTAACGGTATTCATGCAATATGAACCCACTACAAATCTGGGATCTGTAGATCAAACGGTCCAGGATTTGTAAATTATTAAAATTTTGAGGCAAAAACAGCGTATTTAAGAGGTGGTATGGTTAAAAATCTGTGAAACTTTGTAGTATGGTAAAATCTGACTACACCATTAGAAAGATAATTGAAAACTGTTTCGAAACCACCTAAGGCAAAAATTTGGAATTTTGTTTTCTACTCTTCGATCAAAGATATCAACAAAAGTTAGCAGAAAACCATAACTCTCATAGCAAAATTTTATGGTCTTTTATTGTCACCAGACTTGGTTTGCACCTTTCTTTAAGGTCCCTTTACATTCTCCAAGGTTTTTGGAGGGGAAACAATCAATTATTTTTTTT